AATAGGAAACTAAATCAGCCTAAAATCTGGGAAGAATATTCTTTAAATCATTATGATTAAGGGATAGACAGGCAATTGAATCCCTTCAATTAAGGGATTTCAAAAACAAATTATTTTCCTAATCTATTTACAGCCTTTTTTCACTTGACAATATCATTGTTAGGAAATTATTTTAACAAAGACTGCTGGCAACTAAAGGATTCAAAAAACAATGGAAATGAATTTGACATGGAGAGTTTACATGTAAACCCCAAATTTGATTGGAGGGAAATAGCCACCAAAACTTGATTCCAGGCAAAAAAATATACAGGGAAGTTTAGAAGGATTACTCGCGTAGAAGAATTTGCAATGATTTCTTTGTAAATGCAAGGAGAGAACAATAATTTCTTAGTCTAGGGATATGAGAAAACAAAGTGAGAACTTTCTTAGAGAGAAAAAAAAAAGACCTTTTCTTCTCTATTTTGAAGCCCTCCAATTTTTTTTTGCAAGATAGAGATAGAAAATTTGTATTCTTTAAGAAAGTTCCCACTTTGTTTTCTCCTATTTTAGGATGGAGAAATTATTCTCTCCTTGTAATTAGGTGGACATTATTGTAAATTCTTCTACACTTGCTCGTGATTTACCTTAATTAAATTTGGAGTTTTCTACATAAAGTAATTGTGTTTTATTTTATTTTCATTTTTTCAATCTCACTTGGATTGCGAGCTAGATGATAAGAATGTGCTATTACATCAAAGAGAATCAGCTGCTCCAGTTTCTTGGTTCCAGAAGATTCTACTAGTGGTTAAGTGAAGGTAGTAGTTACAGGAAAGGAGCTTGGTTTTTTGGTTAGGAAGTAGTTGTTGCCAAAGAATAAATAAGAGATGGTAGGCTTAGACAAGGGGAAGAGAATTTGGATATTGTCTTGGGAGAGAAGTAGAGCATCTTGAATGCTTTGCAAATTATTGTATTTTCTTTCGTTTAATTTGTAATTCCTTACATAAATTCTGTTCAGGTTCCTATCAAATTGGTGTCAGAGAATCGATTCTAAGACAAATGGAAACAAATTTCAACCGGTTTGAGCAAATGATATATCAACAGGAAGGAGGAGACCAAGCACATGATTTATGTTGGATTCACAAGGCCACTCAAAACATCAATATTCTACAAGGAAAATCCAGATTTGTGGCTGTTTAGGATGGTGCAATGTTTTTTCGTGAATCGGTGGTTGTCGGAGAGGGAAAAGGTGAAAGCCGCAGTTTCATACTTTGAAGGAGAGGCATGGGTATGGTTCTAGGGGATAGAAAGTGGTTGATTGATTTGAACTTGGGAAGAAATAAAGGTTTTGATGTTGACTTGATATCACATTCACGAGGTCTTCATTGGTGAAGAATTTCTAGCATGCAAGAGTTGGGAGGTAGTGAACTCAGAGATAGTGTTGTCAATTGCATATCAGGGAAGAGATCTCTAGTAATTGGTTGAATCAGGAGAAGATGGAGACATTGATGATCAAATGGGAAGAGAACTATGTCAATGGGCTGGAATGTAAGGCTAAAATTCATGTGGTAAATTCGTGGGCTTGGTTTTGGAGATGGCCCAACCGATAGAAGACAACTACTATTAAAACAAGCCCTATGAGAACCAAGGAGTTGAAGGAGGGAATAGGGCAGCCACGATGCAAGGGGAATTTGTGTTGTAAGACAAATTTTTGGAATATAATTTCATTTTTCTTATAGGAATCAATTTTTCTATCATCCAGCATAGAAGTCACATTTATGGGCTACTTTGTAAAAGGTTGTTATCCTATATAGTATTGCACCACTAACTTCTCAGATATTAGGGTGGTTGTGTTGATAAGCATATGTTATTACGTCAAAGGGAATCAGTTGCTCAGTTCCAGAAGGTTCCGCTAATGGTCACAGGAAGTAGGTACATTAGGATAGCGGTTACATGAAGTAGCTACAGGAAAATATTGTGGTATTTTCGTTCGGAATTAGTTGGTGCCGAAGAATAAATAAGAGATGGTAAGTTAGATAAGGGGAGGAGAATTTTGCTATTATCTTCGGAGAGAAGTAGATCCTCTCGAATGCTCTGAAAGCTATTGTATTTCTTTTGATTGAGTTTGTAATTCCATACATTCCAAATTGTGTTCGAGATCATCGTGATATTGAGAATGAAGCATTACGAAGGGAAGTGCTAGAGCTTCAAAAGCAATTGGCGTATCTTCAAATCGGGAGACGAGAGGCACCAAATGAGGAATATGAGGAAGAAGATTCATATGACGATAAAGAAGAAGGTAATCCTTTCCATCGAGATCATAGCACGGGGTCCAATTGTTCTTGAAGGAATCACAAGTTTGAACGAGATTTCGACATCAAAGTTGATGTTCCAGAATTTGAAGGTAGGTCAGATGAATTCATTGTATTGGTAAGTATGGAGAGAAAGGAAGAGCCGTTGTTTTGAAAACCAAACAAGAACAACAGAGTAGTTTAGAATTGTTTTATATGACTTTGTATGTCTGGTTTAATGCTGCGACAACCAATCATATAGAAGAACTGCCTAACTTCATGTCATTTCTTTCTTATTTAAACTGATAATATACCGCCCATGTATTATCTTTTGATTAATAAAATTACCTGATTACTTATCAAAAATAAAATAAAAATTCCTCACATGTATTCATATCTATTTAGGTTCCTTTCACTAACTTCATCACAATAATTTCCTAAAAATTGCTACTTTTGTTGGAAGATCCAAAGCAACTAGATATTTAGTAACCACAAGCTTATGAATGTTTTAGCCTATCATTCCCTCTTCTAACTTATGATGCTAAGATCACATTACTTTTGTGAAGCTGGAGTCTCTTATCATTTTGATAAAATATATATATAGTCTCTGGTTAATTTGTTACTCGAAATTTTGAAGCAAAGTGTGTTTTGAAAGTTCGAGTCACACAAAGCACACCTTGACGATTCTTTTATATCGATGATAACATTATTGATTAGTTTATTTTACTTAGTATTCTTGTACCGGAATTTTATTTCATAATTAATTGTAAGTACTTTAAAATTTTGATTGAGGCGATGGCGGATCAAGGATTTTGAGTGAGCATGGGTGACTGTTGACAGTTGATCGTCAACCGCAATAAAATATTAAAAATTAAATATAACATATATTATTGTGTAACACTAAGTGTCAAAATTCAACAAGTGTCATGATGGTCAAACTTTCAAAAATCTTAACAGGGCTGACTGGTTCGAATCCCCTCCTTATTGCATTAGTTTTGGTAAAAATTATTAAACTAGAATAATTGCACAATAAATTGCTTTGGAAGATATTCGATCCCAAAGCTTCCAATTTGGATGTGGAAGCTCCAAACCGAGCTACAAGATATGTTTGAAAATAAAATGAATTACCAAATATATAATTTAAAAATTTTATCTATTGTTGCAAAAAAAATAAATCGTTCCTGCGGATCCAACAACGGTGGCCGCTGCTAGTGCTCTCAGGGTGCTGGATCCGCCACTGGATGGAGGTCAGTTCACTTCCAATGCTGGCATTTGCCAATTATTCAGATTTCTCCCCCTGTGCTATGATTCAAAACAAAAATACTCTAAAAGCCCAATCATGGTTTCAGCCGCGAATGTGAAGCCTTAATAGGCCTAACGTACAGAACAGTTGTATGCAACTACAGACAACTATATTGCTCAGTGGGTATTAAACCACAAAAGAACAATATGTTTTTGAGGCACACTAACATGGGTACTTTTGAGTTGAGTATTCATTTGTTAATCATATCAATTTTATTATATAACATCAGTTGTTCTGGATTTGCTGAGCATGCTGCACACAATGTCTCCTTGCTTATAATAACAGGTAGGGACCTTTTCATGATCTCTAATCAAACATTTCATGAGCAAGGCTTATACTGACGTCTTATGTCATCAACTTTTAAGTTTATAATTTTCTTTTGGGATATCTTAATATTTTACATTCCCTGAGGGGTAGTTCAGTAGTCAGACCTTGGGTTTGCTCCCCAGTGGTCACCAGTTCGAATCCCTTTAGGGCCACTGAGGTGAGTATCCAGTTGTAAATTTCAGGATCCTGTGGAATTAGTCGAAGTGCACGTAAGTTGGCCCGGACACCCACTGTCATTTAAAAAAAAAAAAAAAAAAAAAAAAAAAAGAACATTTGAGGATGCTTCTTTTCTCCCTTAGTAAATTGGAACTTGAAGGCTGGGGAGAGGGAAGTGGTGAAGGAAAAGTCCCAATCGCCAAACTATGGTCAGCAGTTGCCAGGGATCTGCATGTGACATAGTTTGGATAGGGTTACTAAAATTACCTAGAACATTAAGCAATACATAATAGATTTATCTAGGCAAATAATTTGTTGAAAGGCATAGGTCAGAATATGGTAATGGTGCTTGCAAGAAACTTCTTTTGCTTCCAGAGATTACAAAGTATTCATGCTAATTTTCGTGATGATAAACAAGTTTTCTGGTTCTGTTGCCTTTTTTTTTTTTTGGGTGGGTGGGGGGGGGGGGGGGGGGGGGGGGGGGGGGGGGGGGGGCGACAACTGATGTTTTTAAAGCTGACCAATTGACTGGGTTTCGTCTCCTAGAATCAGACTGGTTCCCAGTTTTCTGATTGAAATGGTCGGGTGGCTTTGTAACAGTTGATGTCCATTTCAAAGTCTCTATTTAGTTGAAGGTCCTATACTTTACCATCATATATGGAAGTACGAGTCAACGCTGGGAGTACGTAAGCTTATAGTACGTTTGATAAAGTTTTTTGTAGATCTTAAACGGTGTACCCTATAAAACGTGTGGATAATAAATTTGTAGTAGTTGTAGGTTCGATGAAACATGTGGATAAAAAATAACTTGACCAATTTATAATAGTTTAAGCTTTGCCAAACATACAATAATAAGTTCGTTCTAGAATTTGATCTTTTATTCTTGAAAACTAGTTGTATTCTCACTCTCTTCCCTAACCTTCTGTTATATGTTGTAATTGTATTAGATATGGAAACAATTGCACAAGGACGACTTTTTGAAGATGACGAAAGGTTTTGTGGAAGAACTGGGGCTTCCGGATTCAAAGAGGCGAGTCGAGACCTATGAATCCTTCTATCCACAGACAGAGAATAATCCTTCCAATCCTTAATGGTGTGTTTTCAATTTATTCTATTGAGAATTGTTTCTTGATAAGATTTATAATGTCTGCTGCAAAACATATGCCCAGATAAGATAATTGTCTTTAAAACATAGTTGAGCAGAGTATGCGTAGTGCATGCAACCAATAATGCATAATGATTCATTCTCAGTTGTGTAATCCTGATCCCATTTTGTGTACATTTTAAGATTTAGTTATTGAATAAATCTTTAAAATGTAACTTATATTACAATTTGATATTTGCCTCTTTGTAAAGCCATTTTAACTATGCCACTTGTAGTTATAGTGATGGAGATGGAGATCGAATAAAGATAGGATTTAGATAGAATTTTAAAATAGAGTTCTATTCAACTTATATTTGTTTAAATTAGATTATGTTAATTTTAATATTTCGATGAAGTTCTAGTCTATTAGAAGTTCTTTTGATTTTAGATTAGTTGCTCCATATATAAAGAATTTATATACCGTACTAGATACCCTTGAATATATGAATAAATTGATTTCTTCTTTGCTGGCTTGGGGACGATGTGGGTTTGCTTTTATTGAGCTTAATATATGACACTTATCGAATATGGCTTTATTCAGAGTTCTACTACGACTAGTTCCATGTAATGGAAATGTATTTTTACATCCTACTTGGGTTTGCTTCTATTGAGCGTAACATACGACAATTATCGAGTGCGGCTTTCTACGGAGTTCTTTCCTGACTGGCTCAATGCAATTGGAATGTATGTTTATGTCCTATCATGAAGCCTGTGATCTCTCTATAATGAAGAGCGTACATAAGGTAATCAGCATATAAAATCAAGGGATAAAAACCACTCATATTCTTACAATTACTTTGCGCAATTATTCGATCTCTCGAAGTTTAATTAAAAAAATTATGTTTTTAAGTGGGTAAATTTCGTTACGTTTTTCCAATTTGCTCAGTTGTATAATTATGTTGTAATTTGATTTCAATCAGATAGTTGTACTTTAATTTGATTTTAATAAATATAACTCTATTCAATTTTACTAATGAAAATCAATATGGCAACCGTTGACCGTCGTGGTCATTAGTTATCGAGTAATGCCATGTAGCTCTATAGGGGTTGCATCTTCAGTTTATGTGGTATTATATGATATGCTAATTGAAAGGTAAAATTAAATAAGTCATTTGATTTTACTTATCATTTAATGCTACATAAACGTGACCTTGATTGGAATTGTAATCTCAATGGACCTATGTAGCATTAGTCTTAGTTATTAGTATGAAGCAAGTGTTATTTCAGTGATATAAATGGTTGTTATTTATTGTCATCGATTTCTGTCGGTCCAAATTATAAAATTAGATGAAATTATATCGATTAAATTTTAATCAAATTGCAATTTTACTTTTATAAAAGTTAAATTTACAATTACCTGATTAACATTGAGATAAAGTGTGGCTAACTTCATGTGGAAATAGTAAAGTTCCATTAGTTTTAATTAATTACTGTGCACAATAAGAATAAAGTATCAAAGATATGGTGAACAGGAGTTAATTGGTCCAATAGTCACTCAATTTAGGTCTATGTCTTTAATTGGTTATTGAAGTTTAAAATGTCGAGTTTTGGTAATTAAATTTAGGTCAATGTTTTCGATTGTTCACTGAACTTAGTTCAATGTTTTAAATTACTCACTGAAATTTAAAATAACGAGTTTTGACCACTAAACTTTGAAATACACCATATGTTACTCACTAGCATAAGTATTGAGTTTTGAAAAATATCAAATTTACAGTGAGTAATATATATAATTTTTTAAAGTTCAAAGTAAAGTACAATATTTTTCAAAGTTCAGTTGTCAAAACTTGACATTTTAAATTTCAGTGAACAATCAAAGACATAAACCCAAATTCAACTACCAAAACTCGACATTTTAAATTTTAGTGACCAATCAAAGACATTGATATAAGTTCAGTGATCATTGGAACAATTAACTCGCTGAATAGCCTTAACATTTGGCAGAATCGAAAGAAAAAATGGACGGGGCCCGTGATGGGTCTTACTTTGGGGCGACGAAAGGCTCGGCATGGCGGACACGTGACTAACTACGGCGGTTCCAAAGAATTCACCAAAAATCAGATAAGACAACTTTTCTGGACTCCTGTTTGGTGGGCATTAAATAAAATTTTAGTTTATTTTGATAAAAGTTAATAAAATGTGTGGTTGAAAAGTTATGAATCTCATAAAATACTTGATTAAAATTATTGATGACTTAATCTAAATTTTAATTCCTAGGGTGGGGGCACAACACTGGTTGGCATAGCATGTTAGACAAAGCTTAAAGAATTTACTTGTAAGTAATAAGTTAGGTTTAGAATAGGTGAATTTATTAATGTTCGATTTATATAATAATAATAACAAAAAATTAAGAGACTTTAAAGTTACTTATAAAATTATTAGTTTTCTTCATATAATACTACTCGTACTTCTGTATTTTAGGTTTAAAATTTCATAAATTAAACCAAATTACTTATATTTGGACAGGATAAAAGTTAAATTTTGTTAAAAGTTGATGAAATATATAGTTGAAAATTTGCGATCCTGCGAAATTGGAGGTTGAAAATGAATTTGTAAAAAAAAATGATCCTTTAAAAAAGAAGGGCCAAATAGGAGCGTAATAAGTTTGACTCACTCAAATTGTTATTTTTAAAATTGATACAGATTTCAAAGTTTGAGGAAATATGCATGGTAGGTCCCTGATAGGGATGTAAACGAGTCGAGTCGAGCCGGTTCGCAAGCCGAAATTTTCGGCTCGGGCTCGGCTCGAGTAAATCGTAGCGGGCTTTTTTTGGGCCCGAGCCGAGCCAAAGCTTGGCGCGAGCTTTGGCTCGGGCTTTTTACGAGCCGGGCTGGCTCGGTTTTTTTAATTTTAATTTTTTTTGCAATTTTTAATGACATTTTTTTCACATGCCAATTGTTGTGGTGCAATTTGTTTAGTGTAAAAAGTAAAGAAATTGTTTAATGACATTTTTTTTGAAAGAATTTAAAAATTGCATCATTTATTATTTATACAAATTACAAATTAAATAAAAGTACAACTTTCAAAATTATGTAATTTATACGAATAACAAAATAAATAAAAGTTACAAATTACAACCCTCCTCCTTTTTCCGGGTTTGGGACCGGTTACAATCAACGTAGGCGGAGTTAAAATTATACACGAATAAAATATTTCCTGTACAATTTTCTTGAATCAAATAAATTTAAAAAATACATTTCTTAAAGAAAAATAATTAATTTAAAAACTTACAACATCCTATATTTGGATATGCTGCAACTCTTCTGCCATTATACTATCAATATGTTCTTGAACACGTAATTCTGCACATTCCCCATCCTTCAAGCATATCAAAGCATCCAATATATCTTCTTTTAGTCTTGATCGTTCATCTGATAAAATTCGACCACCTAAACTGAATGCAGCCTCCGATGCTACCGTAGACACTGGAGGTGTTAGTAGATCACGTGCAATTTTTGATATAATTGGATATTGCCTTTCATTACATCCCACCAATTTAAAAGACTAAGGGCCCGTTTGGTAGAGATTTTGAGAATTGATTTTTTGACAATTAGAAGAAAAGTGGGGTCCACATGTGAGAGAAAAAGTCAAAAATTACGGCTTGAATAGTAAAATAACGGTCAAAAAATCAATTTTTTGGGGCAAAAAATTCCTACCAAACGGGGCCTAAATTCTTGTAATTCGTTTGGTTGCAACACGCTACGAACATCCACACACATACACCTAGCTAACTCAGAAGGAATTTTAAGATTTGTACAACCAATATTGATCGCTCTAGATGTTGATGAGCTAGAACTAGAACTAAATGAAGGAACACTTGTATTGCTATCTAAATAATTTCATAAATTTTCGAAATTTGTTGAAATATTTCTTAAAAAAGAACTTTGGGAAGTAGAACTACGCTGACCTTCCTTTTCAGCATAATAATTATACATTTCACATAAAAAAGATTCTATATACATTTGTGATAATTTTATATTCAAAAAATCTGATATCCCCTTTACAGTAGTTTTTGTGCCAATTAAATTAAGTCGAGGGTCCATTATTGAAGCTAAAAAAAATAAAGAAGGCAACTCTTCCCAATATTTACAAAATTTTAACTCCATAGAGCGGATTACATCAGCAAAAAGTAGCGAATTCTTATATTTATGAAATGCTTGTGAAATGTAAAAAAATGTTGTAAAACAAGAGAAGATGTAGGGTAATAAACACCGCTACATTCCTTTATAATATCGAAAAAAGGTTGTAAGAATTTTTTCACGTAAAATGCAATAGTCCATTCCCAATTTTTCAAATTATGTTCAGGTCCGAGTGTATGCCTACCATTATAATATAGTGAAATCACTTTATCGTAATTTTCACACGAATGTAACATAAGATATGTAGAGTTCTACCTATGTGTTACATCAGTGGCAAATGATTTCTCCTGTAATCCATACTCTGCACACAAACTATTAAATACTTGTTTTCTTGTTGGTGACACAGTAATAAAATTTATTGCTTATCTAATTTTATCTAAATGTGAACTTATATATTCTAATCCAACTTTTACAATCAAATTAATAATATGACATACACAACGTTGATGAAAAAATAGATTTCCAAATACGGGGTTAAGATCAGCAATAAATCTTTCAATAACAACATTGTTCACTACAGCATTATCAAAAGTAAAATTTCGACCCATATCTTGTATCCTATATTCCTGTATGATATCATTTAAAACCATGTATATGTTAGTGGCATTATGGGGAAATTCTACACATCTGAATGCAATAATTCTTTTATGTAGAAGCCACAGGTGATCAATATAATGAGCCGTAACAGTAATATAATCTTTTCTATTACAACCAGTCCATAAATCAGAAGTAAACGATATAACACTATTAAAATTTTTTAGACCTTCAATAGTAATTTGTTTTTTTCTGTTATATAATTTTATGCTACCCGAACGAAGAGTATTTCTAGAATAAGAAGAATACCTGGGTTGGAGATATTTTTGCACGAGTAGGGTAAAGTGTATTGAGTCTATCATCGTAAGCGGCATCTCTGCTGCAGCCAGGTATGCAGTTATTCCTTCATGAAATCTTTCCTGTGAATATACAAATGTGGAAAGAGTAGAATTAGAACCGCCAAACACTAATTCGGTCTGTTTCGAGTCGAGATCGGCTGGTTTCGCTTTGCAACTCCTTAATACGTGTCTATTCAAATGCGGTGTGCTCGAGCCAGGCTTCCAACTAAGTTCTTTGCCACAGTAATTGCAACATGCTTTCCAAATAT